TCTTGCCAGAGATATTACAGGACTTGACAAATGGAACTTTATAACTGAAAAAGAAGTTATGTCGGTCTAAAGAGAAAGTATTAGCACAAGAAACGAAGCGAATTAAACAACTTACATTGAAAGAAATGTTTAATAAAGTAAACAAATTTTAAGCTCTTTATTTTTTGTAAACTTTGACACCCTTTAGATAATAAATGCTTCATTATTTCATAAATCATGATTTCAGGTTTTTAACTTTTAATTTTATAATTTCTACATGCCATCTTCCTAGATTTAAACTGATGGTCTAATATCTGGAAAAATAAAAAATCCCAAATCGCCAGTCTCAAGAAGTCAGGATCTCAGACTTTGTACCGAATTAGTATTAGTACGTATCTTTATTAGACACAATTTTATTTAGATATGCAGTTCTACATGTAAGGATATATATATATATATATATGATAGTTTATACTTGAATGTAATTTCATATGTGTCCTTAATATATATCAATATCAGTTTCTGCATTTGACAAGGGTGACAAATTGTATAATGAATGTAAGAAACCAATAACTTTGTAATCAATTTCAACTTATCAATTAAAGTATAAAAATAGTGCTTTTAGTATTTTAAATGACAGCATGAAATTCATATGTATGTACTTTCATTTTATATATACAATATAAACAGTCATTTAATACTGGATTTTGTATCAAATAAGCACTAACAAAAATAATGAAATGCATAATTAACTACGAGTCATTAGTATTTGTGATATTAACTGTACATGATAACTACCACTAAACTATTAAAGATATTAAAAATATTTAAACTTCATTCAAATACAAATAAAGATTGTCCTGTCATTCAGAGAATACATTTGTGTTCTACTACACATTTGGTACATTCCGATTACCTGCACCTCACCAAAAAGTCAGAAAAGAGTATTGAGGTAATGCAGGATGTTGCTAAGTATTTAAGTGGCAATCAAGATATTATCTACATATGTAGAAATGAGCCTGATGGCTTCCAATGTCTTTTGAAATTTTTGCCCAAGATTGCAGATTAATATTCCTCCTATGGGAATTCCAGTGTTTTAAAACAGCAGTGGACTGCATACTATGTCTTATTTAAGAATTTCATGCATGAAATTTCTCATCTTAAGATTTCGGTGCCAAGTTTGTGCACTTTTCTAATATTTTTTTCGAAATGAGATCACTGCATATGGCACTCTTTTCAACACTTCTCATTTCAAGAACAACAATGTAAAAAACCAAGAACTTTGTACGCCATTTATTTCCAAAAAGAATGTAAAAAAATAGGCAGCACTGGATTTATTCTTGAAAGAGATATAAAGCTAGCCAAACAAATATTTCTCTCCGAAGTTAAAAAGAAGTTGGTGAATGCTTTTCAAAATCACTAACCAGTCAGTGACATCTTGTTGGAGGTGCAGAGAATCAGAATGTATCACATACTTACATAATTCTGCAGGTATAATGTTTGTATAGTCACCCATATGCACGATTTTGAATGTTACAGGAGGAATCCTTCTTCAGAAAAGCTTATAGCACAATAAAACATAGCATTTACAGTAAATAACAAAAAAAGGTGTATTAATACTTTTAAAAATTACACATGAGATATTTTAGAAGTAAATTTTGTCTGTACGTCTTATGCAGCATAGAAAATGGAAGCACTACTGCAGACAGCCTGGTAAAAGATAATTCAAAGGTAAATCTCCAGATGTTGGTGATAACAATTCAAAGCTGGTAATCCAATTAAAGAGCTGTTTGTAGATTGCAACCATTCCTCTTGCATTCTAATTGCTTTTATTGCTGCTTGTTATTTGCACATTGAATCATACTCATCATCATCTTTACACATACAATTCTTTCTTTACATACTCATTATTACAGTACAAAGTCTGAAATCTGGAAGTCCATTATCTGGATCTCAAAACCTCCAACAACGTTTTCTCGTAGGCTTTATGCATGCGCATTTAATTCCCCCCTCCGAGCATAATAAAACATCTGGAGATTCTTAATTTCACTTCGACACTAAATAAAATACTCTTATTGAAGAAACAATTATTTTAGCATAAATTTCTACTATCAGTAATTTGGCTCCATTGCTGCGTATATTCTTGGCATACATCTCAAACCCAAACATTCCACATAGATACATCGTTGATCTGAAGCCAAACCGGCTAATCATTATTTATTGTACTTTCCTTTCATCACCGCATGTTTATCAAAACATCACAAATTGAGTAATGACTCATGTAGTGATGCCTAAAACAATTTTTTAATGTAAATAATTGCATAATAAAGGAGTATGGTAACCTTTTATGTTGACATTACGCCTGGCGATGATTACAAATTTAAGTTAAATGCGCTAAAAGATGTTGACGAGGAAAAATTTACCAAAACTTTCTTTCCATATGCTAAAAATAAATTTTGTATGATACTCATAGACCCAAAGATTACATTTAGGGCTATTTGAATTAAGAATTACTGGTTTGTTATTCACATAAAATCAGCGCCATGGCTCGTGTGGCCGCATTGAATCACAGAATTTACGACCCACAGAGACTGCATCAGGCGGTAAGATATCTAGTGCTGGCTCTCAATAAGGCTTAAGTATATAGTGGGATTTATTCAGAACTCTGATAAGCCTTAAGCAAATAGACATAAATATAATAAATAACTAAAGTAATACAATTCAGGCTTAATTGTCTCTGCGCGATAGAAGCAAGATAAAATTTAATGTCAGTTGGCAAGCTCATGATGCATAACCAAATATGTATAGTGAAGAATAGCTAAATTTGCTGATGATAGCCGCTAATTTTAAAGGTTTTCGGATACTGCAAAACAAAGGTGAAATTTTCCAATCAATGGATTTTGTAAAGAAATGTGGAGAAGCGGTAATAAATGAAGATTATATAAAAGAAGTTTTTCATTGATGACTATGCTTCTCAATCATCAATCAACTAATGGATGGCGAAATCTGTAGTATGGTTCGAGATTAAAAAAAAACTGCTACTGACAGTGAAGAAAGTGACAGAGAAGTTACTGAAAATGAGAAAATTTCGATTAGCACAAAAAACAAAGCAACTTACTTCCATTGAAAGAAATGTTTAATAAGATAAACAAATAAATATTAAGCTCTTTTTTTTTTTCTTTTTGTAAATTTTGATACCCTTTAGATTATAAATACGGTGCTACTTTGGTAGACGGTTGCACGGATTTTGGCGAGTAATAAAACTTATGGCAAACCCATTGCTGGATATGTTATTTATGGTAACGGATACTTTGTTGTCATTATTAAAAAAATAATGCATTTTATTATGCATAACTTCCATGTTTTAAATATTATTTATGGCTTCTAAATATTAAAAATCAATTTAATTTTACATTTTTATTTGAAATAAAAATTTTGTTTGTTGTTATATTTTATATAATTTTATGTTGTTGATGATGTAATCAATGACGTCACCTTACTTAAAAAGTAATTGGTTTTATTAATATCTATAAATTTAATGTTTTAAACATTATTTATGGCTGTTAAATATTAAAATACAATTTAATTTTGCATTTGTTTTAAAAATGAGTTTATTATGAATGATTATTTAAATAATTTTAATTCTATGCATGATGTAATCAGCTCCCTGATTGGTTACTGAATATTTGTGCATTACTGCGCCATTTTAAAATTTTATTATTCATCTCTTCGAATTCGTCAGATTTCAAATGGAACGGATATCCCTGTTTCGAAGATGAATGTTGTTAGTGGTAATTACCAAGAATTATTGGTATTGGAATAAAAAAATTGCCGTTTGAGACCTTATTTTGGCCAACCTGTCTTTCCTAATCAAAGATTTATTTATAAATTGTTATTAGCGTCAGAGGAAAATTTATTTTAAATTTTTGGAGGAAAGCTCGCTAATTGCTTCTTCAATGAAGTGCGAGATATGTGGATAACAGATGAAGATGGTTAAAAGAGCCGAATTCAATTATGATTTCGATTTTTTTTGTGTGGTACTTATCAATAAACAAGAGGTTAAATTACTTCAAAAAAATGTAAGTACATATTTTTCTTTTATTTTATAATTGTATACTTCAATTTTTGTTAAAAAAATTAATACACTATTTTCAAAAATTGCTGAGATAATTATTGTCACATATGTTTTAATGTTAATTATATTTTATATAACGTATTTTAAAGTATTTGAATTTAATAATATTCTATTTCTTTTAAATGTTGGTAGGATGGTTTTAATTCGATATTCAATTTCAGTAATATTTTAATCTAATTAAACATTGGCACAATGCTTTTATAGCGGTGTTTTTATTCTCTTTCTTTGCTATGTGAAAGTAATAATAACCTTTTAAGTGTGAAAGTATTTTATACTCATAGTAAATGTATTTATTTACATATATACTTGCCTGCCATCTTCAAAAAAGACATTTTAAACAAAAAAATTAATCCATTATTTTTAACGATATTTTATTTTTCTTCAAGTTTCGAATACTTTACTATGCGTAAAAACAGCGTTTTTCAAGATGGCTGACGGTTGTAAAAAATCGTGCCAACGTAAATCGCCAAAAATCCGTGCAACCGTCTACCGAAGTAGCACCATAAAATACTTCATTATTTCATAAATCACAATTTCATATTTATAATTTTATAATTTCTACATGCCATCTTACTAGATTTAAAATGATGATCTATTATCCAGAAAAATCCGGAATCGCCAAAGTCCTGACGAGTCCAAATTTCGGATTTTGTACTGTATTATTTTGTCTGATTTTCACACTATCGTTTCTGAAAGTGAAACTACCAAAACTACATCTTCAGAAAGAAAATGTAGTAGATCATTAACATGAATACTTGTTTCCACATGAAATTAAATAAAATTGCCAAGCTCCGTTAATTGAAATTTGTAATATTTCTGTTACCTGATAGGTTAATATTCAGAACTCCTGTGTTAATGGACAAGGAGTGGAAAACTTTAACGGCAATTTGATAGAATTATGTTTGCTTTATTTTGGATAGAAAATATTTAGCAACTGCTTCTAAAATAGCTTAGAATTCTTTTTTTCTCCAAGTTAATAGCTTTCTGCCACCAAATGATGGCCACGCCTTCAAATGGTGTCTTGTGGTACGTCTGCTCTTGTTCTGCAATTCTGAAGAACATCATAGCTGCTTGATATTTTGCATATGAATTCCAGGATGTGCAAACTCGAACACTGACAGTTACTCAACAATATATGACAATCTTGTAGGGAACTAATATTATCACCTTCATCGTTTGATACATTTCATAGAGCCAAGATAAAAATATAGACTCTGAAAAAAGAATCAATAGTTAAAATTGTGGCTTATAGACATACTTAAAAATCATGTATGCAGTTATGATTAATACACATAAAAACAAAATCACAAATACAAAATGTTAAAAAAAAAAAAGCAATAATTATCTGCAACAAAAAAAAAAAAAAAAAAATTAAAACATTGAGCTGGATGAATTTCTCTACATTCTAATAACAAAAAACACAAACAATAAAAATGAAGACAACAAAAAAATGAAATTCCTAATGAAATAAACACACCAGTGTCAGTTTCACTTAAACAGCTAGGATTCCAGAAGTACAGAATAGAAACTGATGCTTATACATAAAGGTCAGAAGGCACGTGACTTAACTGATATGAAAACACCATTACCATTTAGCTCCACCGACTGGCATGTAAAAAATTCAAAACAATCATTCCGTTTTCAAGTTACCTATACCGATGCTGGGCTGGTAACAGTGGAATCGTTGCATCGTGTATATGTGACACTGGTTCTGAAAGCTCAAAGTAAATTTTGTCTGTTCATCTTATTCAGCACAGAAAAGGGAAGCAGTATTGCAGACAGCCTGGTAAGAGATAATTCAAAGGTAAATCTGCAGATGTTGGTGATAGCAATTCAAAGCTGGCAACCCAATTAAATAGCTGTTTGTAGATCACAACCGTTCCACTTGCATTCCAGTTGCTTTAATTTATTCCTCTTTGCAATTTTCACATTGAATCATGCTCTTCAGCGTTTTACACATGTAATTCATTCTTCGCTTATTTATTATTATTTTGTCTCATTTTCATACTAGTATCTTTTTTAAAAGTGAAGCTACCAAAATGTCATCTGCAGAAAGAAAACCTAGAAGATACTTGAATACTTGTTTCCACATGAAATTAAACATAATGGCCAAGATCAATTAAGTAATATTTGAAATGTCTTTGTTACCTGATAGGTTAATATTCAGAATACGCATGTTAATAGACAAGGGCTGGCAAACTTTGGTGGCTATTTCATAGAATTACTTTTCCTTTATTTTATATAGAAGATATTTGGCAATTGCTTCTAAAATAATTAGAAGGGTTTTTTTTAACCGAGTTAACAGCTTTCTGCCACCAGATGATGGTCACTAAGCATGGTGGCCTTCACTTCAAATGGTGTTTTGTGGTACCTCTGTTCTTGTTCTACAATTCAAAAGATATTCTTGATATTTTGCATATGAATTCCTGGATGTGCAAACTCGAACACTGACAGTTACTCAGCAATATATCATAGTCTTGTAGAAAACTAATAGTATCACCTTCATTGTTTGATACATTTCATAGACCCAAGATAAAAATATAGAGGTACTTTTCCGTTTTGCCGGCGCAAACGATAAAGTCGCCAATAATGGTTTAACTGATGCCAGACGAAATATCTTCGCTAGTAACCTTTTACGCCTCAGTTTCAAAACAAGTTGAAGCCAATTCTTATCAGATTGTTTCTTTCAATACTGGCATATAGAATTTTTACACGATATTTAAATTTTATCCCCTAAGACAATTCACGGTAATAAGTCAATTAGTTCTAAGTCAATTAGAACGCAATTACACCGCTAATCCGAAGGCGAAATCAAGTGTTAAATTCATCAATTCTAATGAGAATGCACTAGCGAAGTAAAGCACTGCGGTTTTACATAATTTCTGAATAAGCTATTCGTATGAATTGAAATAATTCTTGCATTTAAACTTGTATTCCAAATTAAGATTTAACTTGAAATTAATGTAGATAATTACTGAGCGAATTAGATTTTAGTAGCGTAGTTTATGTGAGATGAGATCACTTGGGGACTCACGTGATATGAACCGGCGAATCAGGATTGTTGAACCATAAAAGCATAGTAAATTCTTAAATTAACGTCTTTTTTACAAAATTATTGTCTTTATTTATTGGCTTTTTACAAAATTTTAAACCATATTAAAATGTTTATGCCTTCAAAATAAAAAAAATTCTTAGAATTAACATTTTTTATGTGTATACTGTATGTTGTCGCCAACAAAGTCTGCTTGGCGAGATTTGCGCCGGCGAAACGGAAAAGTACCAAATATAGACTCTGAAAAAAGAATCTATAGTAAAATTGTGGCTAATAGGCATACCTAAAAATTATATGTTTGCAATTTTGATTAATCTGTGTTATGGTACAAATTTGGAAACTACTTGTTCTTTTTTGGCGAATTTTGACATTTTCTTCATTAACAAATGAATACCTAATATTTTTAACAGAAAAGTTGGGGAAAAAATAGCCTTTTACAGGGCCATACAAATCTAATAACAAAGAAATGAAGTACTGTATAAATGAACAAGCATTTTTATTTATTTTTTAATAATAGAATTAATTCCCACACAATTTCCATAACTATAATTTATTTTTATTTGAATTTTTACATACATATGCTTATTATCATGTTTTCTTTTGCTCACATTAATTTATGTGTACTAAATACTACGTGTAAGCCAGCTAACTTACATATTGTTTTCTTTCCTACATATTTACGTGCATTACATATTACATGTAAACATATAATATTTAATATACGTAACATTTAGTACGTGTAAATTATCTACATGCAATACATGTCACATATATATAATTGACAAGTATCAAATATGTTTTAACAAGGTAATTTTTTCATATGCTTAATTTACTTTTTTATCCTAGCTTTAATTCATGTACAATAAGTAGCTTGCTTAATCACCTAAATTTGACTTTAATATCAAGCTTTTCTTGTTATCTTTCAGCTTAATTATGATGTTTAAAAAACTAATTTATATTAATAAATGCTTAATATTACATTTTGTGTTCGCCTTAACACAAATTTCATTTACTTATGTTTAATGTCATGCTATTTTTTCAAACTTTTCTTAAATATCAGGTTTAATAAGCTACACTTGACTGATAAATTCTTACTGTCATATACATTCTGCTGACTTTACGCTTAATATCATATTTAAAACCATTGCCAATTAGTTGTGGGTGTGATAAGTAAAAGATGCAATGTCACTACAGAGTTTTCTGTAATAGTAAAAAAAAAAAAAAAAAAAAAAAAAAAAAAAAGCATTTTGGCATTAATGATGTTAACAGAGATTAATGCAATTTCAGTTCTTTTCCAGATGTAAACAGGTGTATCATAATTTATGGAGATAAAGTTTACACAGTATGCTGGATTAGTCTTACATCCCACATCTCCTTTAAATTTAATTAATAACAGCTAAAATGCATGGAATGTGAGTAACAATAAACTTACATGCATGAATTTTAAAAGCTACCAATTAAATATTTTTATATCTTATCTATGCTTAATGCATTGAACTAAAAAAATGCACCTGAATTTATTAATTATTAACGTATTTGCAAAACTCATTCCATAAACTATACTTTATATATTTATTAATTAACATTTGTTTTTAAACTTAACAAATTTTTCAAGTAAGAAATTATCTAAAATAAAAACTTTATATTAAGAAAATGTTGGTGATCTTTAATTAAATATATTTTCATGATTTCATTATTTTTTATATGTTTCACTTTTTAGGGTGTAAATAATTTAGTAAAAGGAATTTGTAGTTATAATTTTAATAAGAGGTTATTTATAAGATTTACTCAATAAATTCAACAAAAAATTTAATTAGTTTTAAATACATATCTAATATATATGATTTCCTACCAGCATCAAAATGCTTCCTAAATGGATTCGTTCCTCCAAATGTCTTTCTACATACTCTATACACATGAGGTTGCTCTTGATATGTCCAAGATTTAACTGGAAATCTTTGACATCTCATTTCCCTTTTTTAAAGTAACTTGAGGAAACCTTTTATTGTTTCTGTGAATGTCATATACTAACTTCGTAGTGTATTTGCTACTGTAAGTGGATAGTCATAGTCTTCAGTATATGTTCACTTTAAAATGAGAGTACCAGACGCACTATTTTATTACATGCACAATCCATCACAGTTCCATCATGAAACACAAAGCTGTGATCAGTCACAGCATTAAACTCAGAAAAAGGCCAAATTTAACATAAATTACAGTAAAGATATGAGTCAAGCATTTAGTGACACTTCAGGATTTCACTATTAGAAGTATTTCAAAGTTGTAACAAGCATGTGATCCTCATAGTGCATTCTGGTAGGTGATACATATAAAGACTGAACACTTATGAATAAGTAAAAAGCAATATGTATGTAAAAATGTCCTGAAATCCATTTGCATAACGGCTGCTTTAAAGGGAAAAACTTATTTTCTCAAGAAGCTCTAGTTTTCTTGGAATAGCAAAAGTTACTTCAAGTCAATATTTCTTTAAAACGATTCGATTCTTATTTTACATATACAAAGTGTTTTTCTCTTTTTGAAACAGATAAATAGCTTATTATTTACTTTGTTAAAATGACAATTTGCATACTTCACACAGGCTGTGTTGTTGGCTTTATACCGGACAATATAATGGCTGGAAATTTTTAATTATGACACTGAGCATCTCTTAAAACTCGACGAATTTTGACATCCCTAAATTATGTCCCAAGTACGAATGAACCAAAATTAAATTCACATAATGAGGTTTCTTGGCTGCATCGACGATTTCTTACTGCATCAATAAGCATTGTTACTATTTTAGCACCTCAAAAGTGAGTTGCCTTCAATGTAGAAAAACATGTTTCTACAATTTCTTCTGTCCATATGACTTCATGCATTTACGACTCATGACACTCTTCTACTCTATGACTATAGATACAATCACCCTTTGGAATAAATAACTTATGCACCTTACATGAAATGTTTCTCTGATATATGAATATGCTTGTTTAAAATGGTCATTCCTCTAAACCACTTATTACATAATTCACATAGATGAGACTTCTGCCCATATACAGTCAAAAGTCTTTAATCCGAACATCCATAATCCGGAATGATGTATAATCCGGACCTCAAAGCTACAAAACTTTCTGTGCATGCGTAAATGCATAATACATTTATGCGTGCGCATAATACGTTTACGCATGTGCATTTAATGTATAACAGATGGTATAAACGAAGCTAAAATTATCTAATTATCTATTTTAGTTAATGTTGCAAATTGCATTGTTCCTTAATCTTCTAACTGGATCCGGCTTATTATTTTTGCAGACTGTTAGAGCAATTTTATAAAAGTAAGCTTGAACTTTCGATTATGTCAAAAAGAATTTCCAATTCAGGAGCTGCCAAAGGATCTACAAAGCGAAAGCATGTTTTGATGTCCATCAAACAAAAAGTGGAATTGCTGTAAAAAATGGATAAAGGCATATCCTTTGTTTCTCTAACCATTCCGAAATATGTTTATCAATTTCACGCTGCTCTGCAGGGGAAGGAGGGAAACGTTGCAGTGCACAATAAACTGGATGTTGACTGTCAGCACTATCCTTATCTTCAGGGTAGATGTTTTTATTTTATTCGACTTATAATTCCTTACTAAACGTAGTATTTCATCTCGATGTACTCCATCTTTGATATGATTTAAATCAAATTCCTTGTCGTAATAAATATCACAAATACACATCAAATAGTTTTCTGGTAGCAATTTTCTAATTTCGACTATGCGTAATGTATGCTTTACACATGCGCGCGTTAAAAAAATGTTTAATAAGTAAACAAATAAATATTAAGCTTTTTCTTTACAAATTTTGATACCCTTTAAATCATAATTGCTCTTTATTTCGCAAATTACATTTCATATTTTTAATTTTATAATTTCTGCATGCCATCTTACCAGATTTAAACTGATGATCTATAATCCGGAAAAACCGTTAATCCGGAATCGCTGAAGTCCCGACTAGTCCAGATTAAAGACTTTTGACTGTATAAATAAACCATGTGACTAAATAACTTCTCACATACTTTACACATATGAAGGTTATCTTAACTCTGTGATGGCTTATACCGTGATTTCTATGGGCAAAATTAATATAGCAAAATTTGCTTAGCCTGTAATACAGGTGGGCTTGCATTTTTCGTCGCAAACCGGTATGTAGATCTTAAGTATGAAATAAACAACATGGCATTTTTGAAGTGATTTTGTTAAAAACAATAGAACAATCAGAGGTTTAAATGTACAATCAAATGCTCATTAAACTACCCTTGTGAATACATGACGTCTTGTATTCTTCACACACATATGGAAATTTAAATAACTCTTTTGACTATATGACTTCTTACACACTTCACATCCATATGGTTTCTTTCCTGAGTGAACAAGCGTATGCGTATTTAAATTACTCTTCTGATTAAATGACTTCTTACATACTTTACATACATATGGTTTCTCTCCCGTGTGAATACGCATATGCTGATTTAAATTACACTTTTTAATAAATGACTTCTTACATATTTCACACACGAAAGATTTCTCTCCCGCGTGAATAAGCATATGGAGATTTAAATTACTCTTATAACTAAATGACTTTTTACATAGTTCACACACATAAGGTTTCTCTCTTGTGTGAACACACATATGCAACTTTAAAGTGGATTTATGACCAAATGACTCCTTACATACTTCACACGCATAAGGCTTCTCCCTTGTGTGAAAACACATATGCACCTTTAAAGCAGAGTTACACCTAAATAATTTCTTGCATATTTCACACACATAAGGTTTTTCTCCTGTGTGAATATGCACATGCCTGTATAAACTACTCTTATGATTAAATAACTTGTTACATACTTCACACATGTAAGGTTTCTCTTTTGTATGAATAAGCATATGCTGATTTAAATTATCTTTTTGAATAAAAGACTTCTTACATATTTCACACACACAAGATTTCTCTCCTGTGTGAATACGCACATGCTTGTCTAAAGTACCCTTAAGTCTAAATGACTTGTTACATAGTTCACAAACATAAGGTTTCTCTCTTGTGTGAATACGCATATGGTCTTTTACAGCAGAGTTACACCTAAATAACTTCTCGCATATCTTACACGCGTAAGGTTTCTCTCCTGTGTGAATAAGCACATGTCTGTTTAAACTGTTCTTGATGCTAAATGACTTGTTACACACTGCACACACATAGGGTTTCTCTCTTGTGTGAACAACCATATGCCTTTTTAAATCATTGCTTCGAATAAATGACTTCATACATATTTCACACACATTAGGTTTCTCTCCTGTGTGAATACGCATATGCTTCTTTAAACTACTCTTAAGACTAAATGATGTGCTACATATTTCACACCTATAAGGTTTCTCTCTTGTATGATAATGCATATGCTGCTTTAAAGTCCAGTTATAACGAAATGACTTTTACATACTTTACATATATGAAGTTTCTCTCCTGTGTGAATAAGCTTATGCATGTCCAATTTATTATTTGAACAAATCTCATTTTACATATTTCACATTTATAAGCTTTATCTCATTTTTGAATAAGCATAAGCTTATTTAACTTAAATTTCTGACTAAATAACTTTATACATATTTTCACTCACATAAGGTTCCACTCCTGTATGAATAATGGCACGTGTTTAAACTACACTTTTGAGTAAATATCTTCGTACATAATTGACATGTATAAGGTTAGTCTTTTGTATAAAAAATCATATGATTATTTCAAATGCTGTCTCGATTGAGTAATTAATTCAATACCTAATGCACGAGGTTTTCTCCTGTAGGGCTATGAGTATGATCTTTTAAAATAATTTTGTTTCATAGCCCCTAAATATGAATTTTCATATCACATAACTTGGTTCACATCCTCAGGATGATGTTCATGGATGTTAAATGGGTTCCTTGACTGAAATTTTATTCAAAGCATTTCTCAGATGCTTTACTCTACCGTTTCGTGTCTTGCGAAAATACATGTGACTGGTTATCTTTATAAAATTATCAAAACATATCATGCGTCAGACTTATCTGGTACGCTATATATGCAAACCTTGATTCCTAAGAACAATTAATAACATATATCACAGAAATATGTTTATATGTACACTTTTAAATTTATGACGTTGATAATGGGCAATTATATGTACATTATTAAAGTTATGACGTTGCTAATGTTCGATTATATGTACATTATCAAAGTTATGACGGTAATTATTACATGAAACTTTGATTTTTCTAGAGACGTTAGTTAACTACTGCTTCAGAGTTTAAAGAAGTCACTTACTTTAAAACGCTAAACATTTTCCACATTTTAGAATAAACAATTTGCGAAGCATTTTGCTGTAAAGTAACAAAAAGCGATGTTCAAGTCTTAACAAAATCGATTCATTCATTTGCTCAAGATGTAAATCAAACATGAAAGTCTATCCGGAATTTCAGAGAACTACAGACAAAAATTTTTTGTACAACCAAGGCGAAGTTATACACAACCAAGACGAACTTTGGTAGAACCAATGGGTAGACCAAAACAAAGCCGAAGAATATGTATTGCTAAAGAATATATATGTACGTTCCTTGCCAAGGCTGTGAATCTTTGCAACAAACGCGATAATTGTTTCGTATTGCATCTGCTAAGTCTTTGTACTTGCGAGGCGAAAAATCAATTTCTGCCACTACAATCCGACCACGTATTCCAGATTTATGTAAACATCCGGTTTTGAGAGGAAGTGAGCATATCTATCAGGGATGAGTGTTTCTCAACCCTACCCAACTTTTTGAATTTTTGACGTAACAGAAAATTCGACTAGTTCCGACTATAAACTATCTGTATTTGCTCTAGCAAAGAATGTCTTTGGCTATTACACATATTCTTCGGCTCTAGCCCCCTTTTTGTATACCTTTTTTTGGGCACCTAAGCTTGATCTTTCGCCCATCGGTGCTGAAAGACTTCGCAGATGCAAAAGAAAACTGCTGTCTGCCATTGCAGGCGTTAGTGAATTAGTTTTGTTTGCAAATTAATATGAAATTTTACCCTTCAAGATCAAAATACTTCGCAGTATTCGCATGGTTTCACAGTTTTAAATAAATAACTTCTTCAAACTGATTAAGTTCCAATACTAGGAAAATTAAAAAACTTCATGAAATGGCTATCGACAAGAAATCATACTTATATGAAATATAATAAAATAATTTTTTTGAATTGTTCCTGGGAATCAAGTCTCACGCATAATGTGTATTGATATTTTTATAAAGATAATCATTTTTATTTGCGTAAGACACCGAAAGCTAGAGTGAAGCACCGTACATTCTTCTAGACCATAAACACCATCCTGAGGTACGCTGCAAGTTATATGATACTAAGGATATGACTGGTTAGAGTTATTCGTATAATTCTAAAGTTTCATGTTCTAAGAGGTATATAACAAAGCAATATTTTAAAACAGGCCATGTCTACTGGAACAAAAAATCATCTCGAGTGTGAGGTTTGTAAGAAATTATTTAGTGTAAAGTGTAATTTAAAGAGGCATATGCTTATTCATACAGGAGGTAAACCCTATGTATGTGAAGTTTGTAATCAATCATTCAGACTAAAGGGTAATTTAAAGAAGCATCTGTGTATTCATACAGGAGAGAAACCTCATCTATGTGTAGTATGTAAGAAGACTTTTAGTCAAAATTCTAATTTAAACAAGCATATGCTTATTCATACAGGAGAGAAATCTTATATGTGTGGAGTATGTATGAAATCATTTGGTCTAAAGAGTATTTTAAACATGCATATGCTTATTCACACTGGAGAGAGACCTTATGTATGTGAAGTATGTAAGAAGTCTTTTAATCAAAATTGTAATTTAAGAAAACACATGCTTATTCATACAGGAGAGAAACCTTATGCATGTGAAGTGTGTAAGAAGTTGTTTACTTATAAGAGTAGTTTAAATCTGCATATGCTTGTTCACACAGGAGAGAAACCTCATACATTTGAAGTATGTAATAAGTTATTTAGTCATAAGAGTGATTTAAAGAAGCATGTCCTTATTCATACAGGAGAAAAACTTCATGTATGTTAAGTTTGTAAGAAATCATTTGGTATAAAGTGTAATTTAAACAAGCATATGCTTATTCATATAGGAGAGAAACCTTATGTGTGTGGAATATGCATCACACACAAGTCATTTAGTCAAAATGGTTATTTAAAATATCATATTCTAATTCACACAGTAGAGAAATCTCATATGTGTGAAGTATGTAAGTAGTCATGAAATAAAAAGTGTAATTTAAACAGGCATATGCTTATTCATACATGAGAGATACCTTTTGTGTGAAATATGTAAGATGTCATTTAATCAAAAAAATTTGCAGGAAAAAACAGGAATGTGCTTATTTATGCAATAAAGAAAACACTTTTATATAAAGTTTAAATGTGCATATACTTACTCGCACAAAAAGGGTAGTTTGTATATGTGAGTTATTTAATAAGTCATTTTAGTTGAAAGGCTAATTTAAAGAAGTATATGTTAATTGACATAATAGAGAAGCATTACAAGGGTGAAGTATGTAAGAAGTTATTTAATGAAATGGGAAATTTACAGCAGAATATGCAGATTCACACAGGAGAGAAAGTTTCCCCATATGTGTGAAATATGTAAGAAATTGTTTAGATAAGCATATGCATATTCACACAGCAAAGAAACTTTGTTTGTAAGGTATATAAAATGTTATTTATATGAAAGGTTGATTTTAATATGCACATCTTCATAAAAGGGAGACCTCAGTTATGTATGTAACATTTCATTTGGACAGAAGCGGAATGTGAAGGAAGGCAAAAAATAATCGTCATATTGAGGTAATATTGATTTGTAACAACCCTTAATTATCAATAAAGTAAGGAGTTCTCCATGCGGTAAAGAAATGTCATTATGTGATGTCAAGGCTGGTTCCATCACACTGGGTGGTATAATTTAGAATACAAAATTCTTAAAATTTAGGGCAGCAATTAGTTCCAAAATTTAGGATTTGCAGAGGTTATGGCAGATGTAATAAAGCCTGTTGCTGATCCTGGGTGAAGTATGTAAATTTTCATTTGAGTAAAATGAATAATGAACCTTTTTTTTAATAATTAATCATTAAAATCATCCATCAAGAGAAAGAAATTTATTTATGCAAGATAAATCTCAAGTTGTTTTAAGCAAATACTTACTTAACCTTCTAGCACGCGCGTATGCACAAAATTTACGACAAACTCAGTTTTGCATTGCATTTCCCTCTCACTAACATAAGAACTGGGGATACTCAGATAACCGGCACTTGGAGAACTTCCAGAAATCGCGTTCACCTACTTGAGCGATAGGCGCCAAACAGTGGGAGGACAGTTCAGGTTGCAAGTTTAAACCTTCACTAAGCTAGGGAGAAAGGGAAAAGGGAAGGGATTTTCTTACGCCTTACTTCGGCTGTCATGCGACTCTGCAGATGAATCTTCATGTTGATCACGTGACTTTGTCAGTAGACGTGGTGAATACGCTCATAAGCTGTTTGTTGTATTTTTAGATTACTATTAAAATTATTAATGACTTAAAAATTAAATAATCAATCAAATTAAAAATGTTAATAATTATCAAATTAAAATGATTATTTAATTATATTTCATTAATAATTAATAAATTAAATATGATTAATTAATTAGATTTCATTAATAATTAAGAAATTAAATATGATTAATTAATTAGATTTCATTAATAATTAAGAAATTATATATGATTAATTATTTATATTTCATTAATAATTAAGAAATTAAATATGATTAATTATATTTCATTAATAATTATTATTAAAATTAAATATGAATTGTGGTTTATCCCAGAAACTAAGAAGTTCAGGAGACGGGCTCCCAGTTGTCGTTTAATTACCTTATAAATTATTTTCTAAACAACTTAATGACCTTATAAATTAATTACCTATAAAAACAAAGTAGATAACATATGGTCTTTTCCTAACTTATCGTTCGCATTCACATTTTTTAAAATTATTTACTTAATATTTAAGTACATGTTATTTATTTATCTAGCTATAACAAAACTGGAATTAATTTCTAAATAAATTAATTGTACTCCTAACACGAATTATTTAGAATAAGAGAAGCACACGCGGGTTTTTTGCACAAGATGGCGGAAATCCGTTAGTCGGAACTTAACTCCAAGACGAACTACTAGGGTGTAACAGTTTTACCGCTATCTCGCTGACAGACACTCTGTATCATACAAGCAATTTTTTAATTCCTTCTCATCAAGTTTATATCAAAATAAAAAAAACTTATAAGACTTTGAAATGCTAATAAGTTAATGTAAAATATTAAAGAAACAATATTCTGCTACTTTTCTATGTCAAGGATATTTCACTGATTTCTTTACATAGAGGATTTTGCGGATTAAAATTCGGTGTATGAGTAAAAAATTTAAACTATTAAACAAAACATGAGCAAAATTCTTTCTTAGATAAACAAATAAAAGTTAATTAAATTTATATCTTCAAACCTTTACATGACAATTTTCTCAATCTTTAAACCCGGTAAAAAGAACATATATGAAATTACCTGATCGCGAAAAAGTATTTACCCTTTACAAATATGAACATTTCCACATATAAAATAAATAAAATATCCAAAAACTTTTACCTCTAAATTATCTATTATATTATAAACGTCACCAATGAATTCATACCGCAAACATTACAAATACTTAGTGTCAAATATTTAAATTATTTCCATGCACGTTTACTTCAACTAAAATTATACCAAATTCCTACAAACATAAAATTCACAAAATAATTATCATTTAATTAAATTCAAAAACACTACTTAAAATATAAATAAGCACATACATCAAATTAATAAAAATTAGCTTACAATCCTAATTACTTTAAACTAAATCATTGCTAATAACAATTTTCCCAGTAATACCAAATTACTTTACTTCCACCTTACATTTAGAACAATGCATAAAAATAATATCCTCAAATAATTAAAAATACTAACTTACCTAATCTTCAGAATCTTGATTACGTGTCCAATAAACTTTTCTTATTTTTGTTTCAGGATCTTTAAAATCATATTTATAGTTCACAGCAAGGTACCAGGTAAAATAAATAACTTAATAAAACATCTTTACTTCTATCTCGCACAACCTTAAAGAAACACTTATTACTACTCCTTTCAATCCCACTAAATACCCATTTCGAATTCACTTTAGTTAGGGCCATGGGATCCAAAAATTAACGAACACTGTTTCACACAACACAGAATAAAGCCAAATACAAAATTTCCAGATTTTTTCCCGATTTCCCCCCTTTTCCGATTAAAGAACCGTAATTCGTCCATTAATATCACATGACATATCCCATGATCTCTCATTTCCCTCACACAAAATAATGCGTATTCGGAACTGAGTACTGCTCACATTATTACCAAAGTCCTAGGTAGTAACCTTTATCGCCTCCAAAATGTCGCCAAACTACCAGTTACCATATTCTAAAGATCAGCCGTTCAAGTTTACTTTTATAACATTGCTCTTAAAGTCTGCAAAAAATAATAAGACGCATCCAATTCGAAGATTAAAGGAACAACGCAATCATCAACATTAACTGAAATAGATAATTTTAGCTTATACCGTCCGTTATACATTAAAAGCGCACGCAAAAA